TTGTGTATAAGATTAAGCATTTAGTTGCACATTTTAGTAAGTTTATTATGTCCCCCTTTATAATATGGTATTCCTATACTTAAATTCGAAATATAAAAGAATTTAAACCTCCTTTGAGTTTAAAGCCGTCAACATTTGTGATTGGGGGCTCCTCCATTTCGTATAACATCCTTAATCATAAATTCCCTGCTTGTCATCTTGATAAATCTCATTAGTCCTCTAATTGTGTGGTCATTGTCACCAAAACCCACAATTAGGGCTTAATTGCACTTTCACTTTTAATTTTATAGAAAAGGTAAAATATCAATAGATAAAGTACCACTCCTGTTGTTTTCCATGGATGTTTGATAGTCTTTTTCTCCCATTACAATGCATGGGCATATTTGCTACTATACATAAAGTAATAATATGCCTAATTGCTATTAGTCCAAGTCTCCGACCTGGGGCCGCTTAGTCGTAGTTATTTTCTTAAAATAAAGTATGGTTGCGTTTGCTTTGAGGACGCGATAGGATGGGATGGTTTTGTCCTAATTTTCTTGGATGGAGTAACCTTACATGTTTGTTTAGTTGAGACGATGGAGCTATCCTTGTTTTCATTGTATAAGGAGGTATGCTTGATTAGTTGATTTTGATCAGTTAAGAGCAACTTCAAGAGTCTCTTTAAATGTTATTTTCTGTTACTCTATTAAGAGAGCCATCAGTGCAGAATATTCTCTTTACATATCTCTAACTGTCTTCAATAGACTCTCTAACTTTTGTTCTCTAAACTTCGATGGTTTAAATTTTTTCCTCATATGAAAAAATAATGATAAAACTACCACATAGCCCATCCATTAGTGGAGAGCGAGAAGATAGGGTGGTTTTGGAGATCCGAAAAGATGAAGAATGGTTTAGAGAGTCTATTGAGCCTTATTTTATTTAGCTTGTTTTCTAAATTTTGTGATAAAGTGCCATATAGACGGTCTCTTGGATATGCTCTAACGACCGTTAGGTGGGCTCGGATGTTACCTTTCCTACTTCTTCCTCCTTTGTTCTTTCCTAGGGAGAACTAGCCCCTTCCGCAGTCTTTGCCATGGACATCAGCTCCCTTGGTTTCACCTTAGAAGCCATCCCACCCGATCGCATGCCTCCGCTCGGGCGCTCCCATTGTGTGGTCGCACTCCGTTCGCCATGGCCACAATCGTCCAGTCGCGCAGCAACGCCTATCGCTCGGTCACCGCCCCCGCCCGGCCACATGACTATGCCTATATGAAAAGTATAAGATTTTCCTTTGGTTCTTAAAGAAGGGGTGATATTGACAAAAAAAACAATCTTGCTAAAAGGAATTGAAATGGTAGCAAGTCTTGTTGTTTTTTAGCAAACCTGAAACTATCCAACACTTGTGTTTTTGATTGCCATTATGCCAGTTTCCTTTGGTGTGCTGTGTTTGTTTTGTTTGACATTAATCCGCCAAGGAACACGAACCATCTTTTCAATAGTTGGTCAAAGCTAGGAGGTTCCAAACATAATAATCTTTTATTGACTGGGGCTGGGTAATATGGATCACAAAGAACGATGTGGGTTCTTTTATAAAGGTCACCAAAAAACTTTTTGCAGGTTCTTTTCAGGGGACACAATGGTTACGATTTTGGGCTCTACTATAGTGCTCGGATGACGGCAAGGAACGGATTCTTGACGCTTGCAAGCTACTAGAATCGAGAGCCATGGAGTTTTTCGCATCGCATGGATGGTCCTTCATTTACCGTCTTGAACTTTAGTTCTAAACCTGTAATAAGTTTTAATTATGGGTGTGCTACTGTAATAAATTTGGATTGATGATTCTTCTTCCTATAAAAAGACTGAAGCCGAAAATTTTTCATTATCTGAAAAAAGAGAGGGCACACAATAACAATTTTGATTACCAGTAGGCACATAATTTACCATATAAATTACTAGCCCTTATCTATCTTAAAACTTACTAGCCCATGCATGGAACAGGTTGCTGGAAAAATCATACATGGGTAAATGAAGTGCACATGTTGCCAGATTTTTCTGGCCATTCGGACCACCCACTGTTTATTGATGATAGTTGCACGGTAGCACATGATATGTTTCTCTTGGAGAAAAAAAGGGTAAACCCTGTCCCATCTGAAAAACGTGCAGGATGAGGAAGCACATTGAATTGTGTTATGGATCGAGCTCGAGCATACCCATACTGTACCGACGTCTATAAATACGTGTAGTCGGTTTGTGCTGATAATGCAATGTATCTAGACGTCCCACGGTGACAGGATTAATTGGCGCCATCTGGAACGCCTGATCCTACATGATCTTCATGGGTTTATCTGGAACCCCATTTTGATTGCAATCCTGTAGTAAAGCCAGTGACAATTATACTCAAAATATATACTTGTGAATTATTTATTCATATATATACGTACACACACCGGCAACCAAGGGCCATAGCTTACTTGCCCAAGATGACCTCTTGATTTCCTTCAGAATGATACTTGTCTAATTTTCGCTTCATATATAATCACCTCATTTCCTTGTTAATGTTAATCTCCTATGGGTTGAAGCAAAGATAAGGTTTGATACTAGGCCACCGTGCAAGCTTTGTTGTAAGTTAGCACTTAGCAGAACTACAAGGAAGCTTCAGCACGGCTTGAGGTCAAGCCATTGCTTTGTAGTCCTTTCTGTTCACACCTATGGTCAAAATATTTAAGTACAGACCCTTTTTGTACAAGGCAAATATTAAACACTATTTTTTATAAAGAAAAATGTTTATTAATGACAAAACTTTCTTGAAATCCGTAACAAATACAAGTGCCTCAAATGGTTTTAGTGCTGCTCCCCTAAAAAAGGAATGAATGGTATGGCCTAACTATCTATTACTTCTGTGTCTCACTGAATAACCTTTTTCTGGTTAAAAGAAGTCAGTGGTCATCCAAACCTGACATTGGCGTGGTTAATACAAAGCTCACATGCTCAACTCTCAACTAAATCTTCCATCACTTGTATTCGACTCTCATTTTTATTTGTCACCACTGAATAATATTTTTTGAGCATATGAACCAACAGGACTTTCATTTTTGTTTGTTGCGTGTTGAATTTTGACCACCGAACAATATTTTGTGAGCGCATGGAGTTCTGAGGTGACGTGGCTCAATCTCAACTCTTATTTGTTGACTTAACGGCAGAAACCGAGTGACGTCACATGATGAGTAGGGTAGCTGCATCTGGGCTCAATGCATTCAAATATTGTCCTAATGGCGCCACATCATTGTGTCCGTATAAACTAATGATGAAGTTGGACTGATCATTGGTAAAAAATTCGTGAAACCTATACTGAATCACGGACGCAACTAGGAAGGGAGAAGCTGCTAATTATATATATATATATAAAATGGGAGACAACCACTAACCCCTCAGATTACTCAACTTACATGAGCATGGAGTAACGATGACTATGAGTTATGCAACTGGCAGTCTTGATTAATGGTTTCAGTCTTAGCACATGGGTGATTGTTGAACACTCACTTTACTAGTGTGGATGTTTCTTGACCTGTTGTTGGGATTAATCTCATTGACTTGGAATCAATTTGAAGTAGTTGCTTGCTGGGACCTGATTCTCCTTCTAGAAAACCAAAACTTGGGTACCAAACAACTCCCTTGTCAAGATCAAGATCAAGATATACATAACAAAGAGTGTAAAGCTCTTCCATCCTATCCATTCCATCCAGCAGTAGAATCAGATTAAACAAACAAGCGCATATACAGCATAGGCACAAGGCATTTATCTGTAGTTCTGTAATCTGTACAGATGATGCCATCCGTGAGTCTCTCTCTAGTCAGTACTTGAAAGCTCACCAGGAGCTACATTTCCGGATGAGACAGGCAGGTGGTCAGAAGAGAAGGACAAGCGAATCAAACCCTTCCCTGAACAAACTGCATGCTGTGTTTTGCCAAGAGATTTGTTGGTAAAGATGATGCCTTACTTGGTGCAGACTACAGAGGCAATTGCCATTGGGAGACACCCGATACTTAGCCTTTTTTTCTTTCTTTTTTGAAGAATCTGGAGGGGCCTCAGCCCCTACAGTATTTATTAAAAAAGACAAGCAAGAAACAGAGTTCAAGTACAGGCTGGTTCAAGAAACATAGAGAGAGAGAGAGAAAATAAGCAACAAACCACAAATTACAACAGATTTTAAATCCATATAAGCTTTATAGATGGTAGAATCTATATAAGCTTTACAGATTTTAAATCCCTCACAACAAATCAGCTTTAGCCGGCTTATCAGCCGGCTTTAATACCAGCCGAACAGGCCCTTGATACTGTCGATGTTGAACGACCCCACCGCAGCAAAAACCAAGCCTAACTCTATCACAAGAACCTCCGTCAATCCTCCGGCAAAAATTATGTTAAGAATTCTTGTGTAGTTCAGTTGAGACACAAATCTCCAATTCGCCCGTGTGGAACGATGGCCTCAAAGTTAAGGACATGTATTTGAAAGGGTGGATTATGCTTGTTGGCAATGGTAAGGTAACAGACTTCTGATCTGGCACATGCTGTGGATTGAATCCACTTAACTTAAGGAGCAATTCCCTGCATTATATGAGATTAACTATTAGCAAAAATAGCTCTGGCTGAAATGGCCAGTAGAAGATGGAATCCTACTTTCAGAAGATATCAATATCATTTTTTTTTTGAAAGGCAGAAGATACCAATATCAGCTTACAAGGCTTGGAAACTAGGTGGCCCTTTGCTATCCGCTGAGGATAATAAGCCGAAACGGTGTTGGGGAAAAAGTGGTTGATTTAGCTAAATCAATGTATAATCATTTATGCAGAATATGGTGTACCAAACAACAAGAACCACCAATACAAGAAATATTTACATTACAATTTGCTTTTAAAGTTGCAGTAAGAACAACCAAAACTTTAGTGATCTCTGGCTTAGGAAGGACGGAGTTGGAATATGAAAGATAGGTGGAGGTGATAGATGCAGGAGCACACGCACCTCAATTACTCTGAGAGTCACCACCACACAAGGGGAGGAACCTCTTCATGGACTTCTTCATTTGGGCCTCTGTTTCTACGGCAATGTATTTCTCTGGAACTGGAGAGACAAAGTCGAAGTACTCCCCACCTTCCCTGCAACGTCTCTGCAGGTCGGGGCAGGCCTTTATCTCCAGATACCTGAGGCCTGGAAGCCGCTGGAGGAGGCCCTGCGGAAATTTATCGATCCCAGGACAAAAACCGATCGTCAATAGCTCAAGAGAAGTGAGGCCATCCATCCAATCAGGCAGCGCTTTCAGTTCATCGCAGCCCCACGGCCAGAGATTCCTCAATTTTGGCAGATCTCCATGGTTTGAAGGCAGCGCCACCAAACTTCTGCACTGACTAATATTCAATTCCCCAAGTGAAGCGGGCAGCTTCGGAATCTCCAGCAAACGATAACAGTCTAATATGTGTAACCTTTTCAACTGGGGCAGAGGAAGGATTTCCTCGGATGATGAGCCCTTCCCTTCTAGTTTGCTGCAAAAACTAATAACCAGAGATCGAAGGCCAACCAAGCATCCGAACTCCTCCACTGGCCAGTGCAAAATATTGTGGCAGAACCAGATTTCCAATCGTTCCACGAAGGCCAAGCAATCCCCAAGCCCAAGCTGCAATTTGGATGAGTTGAACACTGATATGAAGCCATTGGCATTGAGTACACCTAAACTTCTCAGGGAGTCTAGTGCAGGTCTTTGGCTTTGGTTTACATGATCCTTTACAGGCATCACCATGTCTACCAGCATCCCAATGTCCAATTGGACAAGAGATGGACAAGATCCCAAAGCCATGCTTATAGGAACAAGACCTTCTATAGACACACCCTGATAATACAGAGAAGTGAGAGCAGGGCTTTCCGGAAGAGTTGCAATTTTGTTGCAGTCGATGATGCACAGCTCTTCCAGCTGGGGAAACACCACCAAGCTATTAGGCTCTCCTGCACTGTTTTCTGCCCATATCTCCAACTCTGACAATGTATCCAACTCCATCGACTTTAACTTTGGAAAAATTGCTAGAGTGGTATTATACCCTGTAGCTACCGTGCCAATGTTCTTACATAATGCGGACAACTTATCCATGTGGCGTAAACACAATTTCTCAAGAGAGCACAACAACCACACTAATGGCAGATCCTTACATCTTGGGCAGTTGGAAATATATAGTTCTCTTAAACACTGGAACATTTGTGGATCTCTCATCCATTGTGAGATGGATAGGCCATTATACCCATGTAGCCCCAATGTTTTGAGCTCAACATGAGGTGCAAGAGATTCTAGTACTTCTTCCTCATTATTACTGATGACCTCATCGCCCAATGGATTGTATTTTCTGTTAGGGCCCCAAAACAAAAAACAGTTCAGTTAGATTCTTTTTCTCATGGAGATTGGCCTTTGCCCCACTCTTTACCTTACTTAAATTGAACAGTTCCAATCTGTTTCCAAGCTGTCTCAGGTCTTTGAGCTCCTCAATACCAAAGCCATCTCCAGAGTCCACAATAAATTTTGTAAGTGTCCAGAGGTTGTGTAGTAGACTAAGTTTTGGAGGCATCTGCTTCAAACTATCACATCCTATTAGATAAATGTGGGTGAGCTTTCTCATATTTTGCATGCTTTCCGGTAAAATCTCTAGTTTGTCACAATGATTGAGAATCAATGATCGCAAATTATACAACATACAAACTGAAGTTGGCAGTCTAACAATATCTGACCAAGAAAGATCAAGATATCTTAAATGTGTTGTATTTATGAGCTTTGTATGGATAACAGATGGGTTTCCCCAACATAGTGCTCTTAATGATGTTAGTTTTAACTTCTCAAGTGCCTTGAAATCTGATTCACTAAAAGACAGGTGTACTGACTGAGTTAATAAAGTGCGGATAGGAGATGAGTTTTCCATCAATCTGGTGATTTGTTGTTTTGATTTAGACCATGACAACTGGATGTGACGTACATTGTTTATCAACGTTTTCTGCGAAATCAACTCTGCTTCAGCAGCACACTCATCTGTCGTTTCTTGTGCTAAGTCATGCATTAAATCATGCATTTTACATCCAATTTTCTTGTATGCAAACCAAGAAAATTTATCAGATGTCTTGACATTCACATCTTGAATAAATGACCTCCACACCCAACTTGTTGAAAACAAATTCACCTTTCTGTACCAAATCTGTAGTTCCATCTGCATGAATAAAACTGTTTGCTATCCATAGTTGGATTAACTTATCCTTATCCATCCTTAGGGAATACTGCACAGAAGGCAAAGCATTGCTTCATTTCAGATGACAAGTGCATGTAGCTCAATTTTAAAATGGACAATACTTCATCTTTGCCAACCCTATCATCCTCTGAGATGGCCTCCCATTCCTTGATTTGATGTTTGGAACTCATCAAGCCACCCATTGTCTTCAAAGCAAGAGGTAGTCCCTTGCACTTGTTAACAATAATTTTACCAATCGTTATCAACTCTGCTTGCTTTTGAACTCCTTTGCTAAACGCTTTCTTTGAGAACAGTTCCCATGAATCATCTTCACTCAAGCATGCTAGTTCATGGGGTGGAAGGGTGCCCATTATAGAGGCAACTTGTCGGCTTCTTCTTGTAACAACTATTACGCTTCCTGGTCTACCAACAGATGAATATAATAGTGGCTTCAGGTCGTCCTCCCATTTTTGTTGCTCTTCATTCCACACATCGTCAAGAACTAGTAGGAACCTTTTCCGGTCGACAACTTCTAGCAGCTTTCCTCTCAACAGCTCTATGGTGTCAGGTAAGTCACATGTTTTATTTGTAGCCAGTTCTATGATGGATCTCACAATAGAAATGGCTTCAAAATTATCTGACATACAGTGCCACATCTTCAATTCAAAGTGGTTCTGAACTTTGCTGTCATTGTACACCATCTTAGCTAGTGTGGTCTTCCCAAAAACCTCCCATACCAGTGATGGGGAGAACCTGCACATCCCGCTGATCTTGCTGGTCGATTAACAGCTGCACCACGACTTCTTTGTCGTTGTCTCTTCCAAAGATGTCCGCAGACTCTTCCAGTGCAGAATGCGTCTGCCGATACAGAGGTTGCGGCGCCTCTATGCGCTCCACCAGACCAAATGTGTGCATCTCCGTCACCAGCTCGTTGATTCTCTTGAGGACCTTGTTCAGATTCGAGCTGACAGTGAGGCGGAATAGGAGAGGGCTGTGGAGGGTGAAGTACCTCAGTATCTTGGTCGCCTTGGGGTCGACGGCCTGGGCCTCCCGCCGCAGGGCCTCGTACTGGAAGTCGTCGAGGACGTCGTCGACCTGGTAGGCAACGGCCCTGAGGTCCTTCATCCACCTTCTCACGGCTGGGTTGGCCTCGCTCTTCACCTCGGCGTCGGCAAGCAGGGACTGTACGGACAGCAGGTGGCGCTCCAGCTTGTGTCGGTCGTCGTCGACGCCCCACATCCGGGCGATGGTCTGGACGAGCGCGTCGGCGGCCTTGCCGACCACGCCACGCACCACGGGGAGGAGCAGCGACTCAGACATGGGCAGCGCCCTTGCCACTTGCCAGGATGGATCTCACTTGTCTCCAAGTTGTGCGCGCGGCTTGGGAAGCGAGAGCGGCGAGAGGCGGAGGTGAGGGGTGCCGGTCGACGCCTGACTGCCTGAGGCCTCAATATGGAAGAAGGGAGATTTCCCGAAGTCCCCGTCACTACTCGTCAACAAGCGCGTGGACAAGCTAATGCTCCTTTTGTTAGAGATTAATCTTGTCATTAGAGTATTGCATGTTTACGTTGTCAGTTGCATTTAGAAAATAATTGTCTGTGTGTAGTTCTCTGCATGTTTATATAGGAGTATACACGTTTGGTGAGAAGCCATACCATGTGAAGTGACAGTGCATGCTCGTGATAATTGTTGTAACATGTTTAGGCTGCACGAGAGATTAATTAGGAACTAGCCATGCATAGGATTCTATTCTGGGTCAAAGCCACGAAGTGTTTTCATGGCGGAAGAATAGGACGGCGTCCAGGGACTGGGCACTTGCATGCTGCTAGCATGTTTCCACGGTTGCACGTTGCGAGATGCAGCGTGAGTCTCGGCTGAGTGATTTTGGCTGGCCGTTTATTTCATGCATGTACTTGAGTTTATATATGAATGAAAAGCGACGGGAGTTATGTGGCTTGCGTCAACAAAAGAAAACTGCTAGCTTGTGCCATTCTGTACGTGTGCGTGTATCTACCAAAGAGAGCAGGCGAGTGTTTGCGATAAACACTTGCTGGTGAGGGAGAGATTCCCAACATCAGTGAGGGAGAGAATTCCAACACCTTTTTCACAAATAAAATAAAATAAAAACATTTGCTAGTCCATGTGACGTGTGACATACTAGTCCGTTAAAGGGTTTTAAACAGTAGACTAATCTGTCCTTCAAATAGAAAAATTATAGAAAAATATATAACGAAGTTATTTAATTAGCACTTTTATAGAAAAATAAACTATACACATAAATATGGAGCTAGGGAATTTCATGAACACAAAATACTCAAAAAGGTGGAATCGAAAAGATCCATGTTAGTTTTTCTAGAATGTGGACATCTAGTTTTGTATTTGGTCAGGGATGAGGATATCTCTGTTATATTTGGTTAGAAAGATAAAGGGGATAGATTGGATGATCCCCCCCCCCCGACGACCGTTTCCTTCAACCGTACGGCCCATTTGTGAGTCATTTTATCACACATAGTACCCACTCTTTGTCTGGCACCCTAAGCCCAGGCAGTGTTGCCCCTGTGAGCTCTACCGACCTCACCTCTCCAAGTTCCACCAGTCACTCCCTCCACTCGCCACACCATCTTCGCTTGCTATCCCCCATGCTCACCGTCCATCATAGCCCCCCCTCTCTCCCCCCACACTTCGCTCAGGTGTGCCTGCCGCCCAAACCAAGCTTCACCCAACGTGACCCTCACCTGCCTCGCTCGGCAAGTCCGCCTCTGCCTAGTGTGTCCCTCGCCTACCCCCTGCCATCAATACATCTACCACCGCTCCTGTGGGCTCTAACTCGCAATCTAAGGCGCGAAGATGAAGCATTGATAGAGGATGGCACTGTAGAAATGGGACGGGTGTGTTCCACACACACACAAATAACAGGGACAACAACACCCCAAATATGGCCGAATATTCCTTGGTGGGATGGCTCCATCCTTGCTGTTTCAGAACCAAACAGATCCTAATGGATATAATCAACATTCTTGTTCATCAAACATCCAACAATAAAATAGCTCAATATTTTTTCGACGGTCCATTACCATCATTTATATTAAGTAAAGAACACAACATCGACACATAGAAATTCACGGCTAAGCTCAATAACTGTGTTTAGAGGAGTTAAAATCCTTAGCTACAGCAGTGTAACAATTGGCAAAATATTGTAGTAGCACGCTGTGGCAGAACCGTCCGAAATAGCACACTTACAGAGGCGCTCGTCTTCCACCAGACACTAAGCACCCCGAAAGCAAGCTACAGCGGGCGGTATCCGTCGAGCACATCCTAAGGGAGAACCCGAAAAATCCATATTTTTCCCAATGATCCAATAATGAAAACGAGTTACAATACTTGTCCATTTCATACATCAGAGTTTTCTTTAAAAGTACATTATTACAATATCAAATGTCAGAGTGCGGAATGATAAACAGCGGAATTTAAATAAACATCTAGCGATCGGAGCGAGGATTCCGTCTGAGCCCACCAGAAGGATCCTCCACACAAAGATACTTCTCATGCATCACCTGCAACAGGGGTAAATAAACCCTGAGTACACAATGTACTCGCAAGACTTATCCGACTAGTGGGAATAACTTCCCGACTCCAAGTAATATGATAAGCTTTATGGTTTGCTGGTTTCTTTTGGACAGAAAGCAATACTAATAGTGAGTCCTTATTTATGTATTACTATCAGCCGGATTAAGTTATCATCTAGCCAGTCTATATAAGCACCTGTTCTACTTTCAAGCAAGAGTTGAGCAATCAGTTCCATTTCTTCTCCTTTCAACTTTCAGTCCTTACTACGGTGCTAAACCGCAGACAAGTCGTACCGGATTTCCCGGCAATTCGTGAATCAATGTGCCCAGCTGGGTGCCTTGAAAACACATGCCCCGCTTGTACCCCAGGCACAAGCAGGACTAACCTATCACTCTCCTATTCTAGGTGTCCAGGTCCCCGTCCAAACTTGGACTCCAAGCCCCCACTCCTGAGTCCCGGACTCAGTGTGGTGTAAGGACCTCCACCATCTCCGTCTCCAATCAGTCGGTTCGGAAAGAGCCGGATCCACGACAAGAGAGCAACAAGTCTTCCCTGTGCCCATACCCAAGTATGCGCACGGGACAATAAATTTGTGACTTGCCTAGAGTCATATGCAACGACCGGTCCTTAATCGACACAGACAGGAAAAAAGTGTAACCGAGTTATGCCCTGTTGGTCGCAGGACACAACCCCTTACACCTACCAATGCCCAAACCATATCCCTGTCCGATCACCATTTACCTTTACCCTTTTATCATGAGTGATCGTATTTATCACCTACTTGTGAGTAACGGCAGATTACTCACGCTACCGATATCCTGAGCATAGCAACTACTCGACCTGTACTAGTAGGACTCATGGGTAGATATATTTATGCATGTAGTTTCCATAAAATGCTTGTAACTTAAATGCACACACACACACACATATATATATATATATATATATATATATATTCAGTGATCATTAAAATAGAGGTTATGCACCGGGGCTTGCCTTGGACAGGCGACGGGTCAGTAAGGTCAGCACCAACAGGCTCTGGGGCTTGCTCCTGCACGAGAATCTCCTCCTTATACTCCTCGATCACCTCGTCGTACTCCGGCTCGCCGACAGGCACAAAGTCTACCAGCTCGTGATCTACATGCATGAAATGATGATGCAATGCTTAGGAATATAACCACAGCAATTCTTGAAATAAAAGTACATCGATTTAACTACTAAGCTAGTGCTACCGACCATGGTGCTAAGCTATCTATTGTTACCGATAATAAGTTTGAAATATAACATTCATTATTATTATAGCAACTACAGGTGTTCTTACTCCTAATGCTAGTTTACGCTATATACGATAAAGTAAGGGTAATAGCTACTCTATTTAGCATTCTATTCTAGGACTACGAAATTTACAACATGTACATAATAATCTAGTGAGGCTACTGTAAAATTTGTATAGCTATAACTATCACCAATTTATCACACAAATTCCTACAATTATTAATCTATATAATACTAAGCTCTTTAGTTTTGAATTTATGAAACTACCATCGTCACAGCTAACTGTAACCTAACTCTACTAACAAGTAAATGGTAATTTTGCAACCCTAACAAAATTGGTTTTACTATTTTTGGACCACTACACAATTTACTACAATTTATCAAAGTTTAGCTTGAAAACTAAATTGAATAAACATTTCTACTTTACTGGAAATTGAATAAACCAATTTCTAATCCGTGGCCCAACTCGCGTGGCTCGGCCCACAATGGTACGACGCGCGCGCAGCGCGGCCCAGCCGGACGACGGCCCACGGCAGGAATGAACCGCGCGTGTGCCACAATATGCAAAAGAGCCATCGGGTTCCCATCAAATGACAGCACAGTCCATTCCACTATTTCCTCCTCTCACTGACTCTAGCACTTAACCCCTTCGTTTACTTCAAATTCATGTCGCGATGCCCTTGGCCGGACTTAACAGAGCCGCCACCTCTCCGGCCAAACACCGGCGAGCACTGACCCTGCCGGCACACACCAGCATCCCCACGAGCTTCCACGTGCCATGCGAAACGGATTGAGGTAACACACGCCCAGAACGGCTCACCACGCAGGCATGGCCACATGCCGCAGCGGTGACTGGCCGCGGTAGCCCGACGCCGGCGAAATCACCTACTCGAACGCCTCAAATACTACTCGGTGACCACCAGCAGGCTGCTTTGAACAAAGTAGCAGTTCTAATTGGTTCGCTACTACCTTCAAACGCATCGGCCACGAAAACGGCATCTACCGACGTCCGCCGGGGACGGCCACGTGCTTCGGCGCACTTCAGCCCTAATCGAGTCAACCAGGTACTCTAGGAGTAAGAGGACCTCACCAGCGGTGTGACGGACGGACTAGGCGAAGGCACGGGGCTTGGCAAGACGGTTGGCCACAAACACGGGGTGACGCTGGTTCCCGGTGAGCACAGCGACGGTGTCTCCGGTGACCCGCTGCTCAGCCGACGAAACCACAACATGATTGCGATAACCAAGTCAACTATTACTCAAGGCACAGCCTAATTGAAACGACAAAGCACCCCACGACGCTCTGGCCGTGCGCCCGCTCAGGCGGCCATGGCGGACCGACGCGAGGGAAACGCCCCGTCCTACCTTGCTGAAGGCCAAACGAAAGCCGGGACGGCTTCACTCAAACGCTAACGATTTGGGCTCGCAGTGGGCACGGTTAATTGGAAAACGGTGGAGTGGTTGAGGCCAATTTCAGTGGCGACTCCTAAGGACTTATGACGGCCGACAGCGACAGAATTCCAAATTTGTGTCCTTCCCTTGTACCACCGCCACAGTGACTAGTTTGTCACGACGTCGTCCTTCCACGCGACCGTCATACGTGCACGATACACAGAAAAGGGCAGCGCATTGATTTGGTTGCTTGGCGTGGCTCGGCCGGCCGACGACCTTGCAGGCGAAATGACTAGCGCTTTGGCGTGGCCTTGAGCGCAATCGTGAGAACGCGACAAGCCGGATGAGCCCACGCGCGCGCACAACCGGCGTCAACGGGAGCAGTACCAGGACGGCAGTGCCGGACGGCACGCCAGGCGAGCGACGCGACGCGAGCAGCAGCCACGGCGGACGAGCTGAAGGGGAGCAGAGCCGCCAGGACCCTGGCGCAGTGCTCTTGCGTGCATGCGTGCGAGTGCCGAGCAGATACGCTCGCCCACAGCAGCAGCGCGGGACCCGGCGCACTTCCGGCCAGAGCAGGGCAGGGCGCGGTCGACGTCCCGGACGCAGCGCGTCAGCCGCGGCGATGTGAACCGCGCGCCAGCGCGTGGCAGTAGGCAGCCGAGGCAGCAGCGCCAGGACCACGCGTGATGCGCTAGCACAGGGTGGCAGGGGGGGACGCGGCCGGCGCTGCGGCGCGTGCTGGGCGAGCCAGCAGCGGCGCCAAACCGAGCAGCGGCGGTGACCGCGGCCAGCGCGGCTCGGTTCGAAATAGGTGACGTGCACGGTTTTTAAAGCTATCGCAAAACCCTACCCGAATGTCCAAACGCCAAACCCCTTCTTCTATACTCCAGTGGGTACGTATAGCTATCGACCTATGCCACGACATCACGCTACTTCTTAAGCTGATCTCTCTACAAAAATTGCCAGACGTGGCTTCGTCGACCCGTTTTTAAACTTACGCGAATTGACGTAAACTTCGAACGGTTTCGCGTCGAATTCCAATTCCGACCTACTTGATATACTAGCTAGCGAACCTCGTCCTCGACCGCACCTATTTCACCGTCGCCTACGAAGTACCTACTGCAACTTTATTAAAGTTCACATAACCGTTCTACACCATTTTTATTCGATAAAAATTCGCTTAGAATACTAAACGATATAAAGCGACATGAAACGAAAAATTTGTTTCATGTTTCGGATAAACGTTTCAAGTACCGTACATTGATTTATACTTTATGTTACATACATTTGCACATAAGTATGATGCTCATGCAGTGTTTTAGCAAAAACTATACAATGTAACACCGATGTGTTACACACACCATCTAAAAAGCTATAGTAGTACTATAGTGGACTATTTATAACCATGTTTTTGAATAGAGATTAAAATCACAAGAATGACCCTAGAAACAAAGAAATATTAACTATCATCTTTTTAAAAATGCAAATGTATTTCCATCTCCCAAAAAACAAAAATAAATGAGTATTATTACTAGGTGGTGTGAAATTATTTTTCCCCGTTCAAAACACGAAAACAGTAATTTCTCTTTCAAATTGCGAAAATATCCTGTTACAGCTTACTTACAGGGGACAATTTCAGTTTTGTTTGGCTCTTCTTCTGTCCTGCACTACGTATTGATTTAATTTAGTTGTATACTTGTACGGTTGTGAATGAAGAGGAATAATTAATTTGGCTATCAGCACGAGCGGTTCGTTCAAGCAGTGTACTCTAGTTTTGGCCGACAATTTGTTGACAAGCAAGCGCATGATTTTGTTGACTACTCAGCCTATTCAACAGATAGTTGGGCATGGACCTGACAACTGTCTCAACCCAGTTATCTGCTCTGCATAAGAATACAAGATGTAACAAGGATCGGAAGGTCATTTGTGCAGAAATAAATTTGGTATACCAAACAACAAGAACTGGAAGGCTTAACTTCCCCTTAAATTTAGTATCTTCATGTGGGTACCTTTCAAAATGCAACTGTAACCAAGGATAATTTGACTAAAAGGAAATGGTCTGCAATGAAAGTTGTCTTCTGCAGGAAAAGAAAGGTAAAATTTGCTGCTGGACATCAAACTAACATGGTATTGGCCATTCCACACCACTAAAGGCGAATCTAGAGGTAATGGAAAGCCAATCTTTTTAATATCTTCCAAACTACAATTTTTATTTGGTACATCACGCTTAACTTGTACGAACATCACTAACGTGAGGGTAACAAAAACAATCCATCGTCACGTATCACTAGATTAGCTGCAGCTATGGCACATATGAGTTTGTGCAAATCATGTGCTGAAATTTCATCAAACCTAGCTAAAATCAAAGAGGTTGGCTAAAATCCAGTTGTCGAAAACAGTGTTAGGGACAGCGCGTACAGCAGATGAGCAGAACATGCCACAAAGGCAGTGATGATGATGAGCACGGCAAGCAGGTTGGGTCTGTTCGGTTTGTTGCCCGCCAGGCAGCAATCCAGACCCTCGATTTCCTGGCTGCTTGGCAGGGCAGCAACTAGACGGGCAAGTCCATGAACAATGGACTTGAGTCCTGGCATGTGGCATCCAATGAATCCCGACCAGAGCAGTTCCCTTGGTCTGGATACTACAGCGCAGCTGACTCACTCAGAAGGCCAGGTCATGATACATCTCTGTCTAAGCTGTACCCAGTTGAAGCCCAGTTATCTCATTGCAGTAACAGCTCATTCATATTTACAGAATCACGGAGATCTATAAGTTGCATTAAGACAACAGGTGTCCGTCTAGGTAAACCTCATGCCACTAGCCCACTAGTGCTACAATTTGAACTCACAAAAGCAGTACTCGGGCAGAGCCGATCCCCTGCCTCTGATATATTCCTCTCGATGAGCATCCCACATAGCCTTAGCCAGTTGTTCTCCTGCTAGTCCAGTGGCAGTGTAATTTGCGAAAGCCCTCCTGCTCAAGACCAGTGTCTTCTGGAGACCTTGCATTGTTCTCATTGCAGTTACCATCTTATCCATATTTCCAAAGAATGTGGCAATGTAGGCATCACTTTTGACTGAAACATAGTAGTCAAGAGCAGCTTTTGTGTTGCCATGCATATTCTCAAAATCTTCATGAGCCAGGAGAGATGATTTAGTGTATATATTTTTGTAAACGGATGTGAAACCCTCAAGCTCCATTAGCCCATCACCAGCAGCTAAATAAATGTTTGTATTTGTAGGAACGTCTAGCGCTTGGAGGATAAATGCTGTTTCACTTGGTGTTAGAGGGCACTTGCCACGGTTCCTCCACAGGTGGGCAGCATCACCAGTCAATACTTTCCTACCCTCCCCACGCGCAGATTCAATGGAGTCCATTGATTTGGAAGAAAGACCAGTGTATGCACACCGACTGTAGGCAACCATATCTGGTTCAAATCTCAGGTGAAGGGATAAGAAGGGTTTTGGTATAGCTTGGAGAAGCTCAACAGCTTTGGAATGCACTTTCTTGTTCAACCTGAGAGCACTGTAGCAGCCTTGACAGTATGAAGCTTTTGCATATGAGGGGTTTCTGAAAACACACAAACATATATCAGTTTGGTGCAGAATTAGCCTCAAGATGAATAACTAACATTACATTTAAAAATTTATCATACCAAAGAGCCTAATAGAACTGCTGATAGAAATATAAAGAACAGAAGAGTTAATACAATAATTTCTAGGATATACATTGTCATTGCCACAATCGTGAAGTGTAGAATAGCTAACCACACAAATTTTTAGGTACACACATAAGCTGGAAGGACTAAACTACTTGTTACCTTATTATCTATCTTATTTCACTCAACCTACATCTTTGACATTACAGTTGTGCAAAAAAGGATTTTTCAGAAGATGCCAATCTTTAGAAGATAATAGGAAACTAAGATTCGGTAAATGAAGTGGATGATGTTATACAAAAAGTCATATAACCAACAAATAAATGATACCAAAAATTCTCTATATAGACAGGCATCATTGCCCATAGTGTGTACGCTCCAACCAACTAAGGTCGGGTTCGCTTACTGCAAAGGGATAAAGAGAACTAATAAATGCAGATCACTACAGCTTTTTACAGTAACATGTGAAATCAAGGAAATCCAGCCAACAAACAGAGTTTGAAGGTTTACAAAAATATGCTGCGCTAATAGAGTAGGAAGGTTATATTTCAATCAAACAATGAAATCAATAAACAGACCTTATCCATGGAAAGCAGCAATTACTAACTACTTGGTCACATCAGATGCTAGCATCAAAGCATAAAAGATTAAATAAATATACTGATTCATAGTTCATCATGGTTTAGCTGTAGTATTTTCACATATAGCACTCAACAATCCAGTAATGATAAAATTAATATACTTCATAAACTATCTCCCCCCTTGGTAGGTATATCAACTGCTTATAAAACTATAATATGCTGCACCCAAGATGTCAAGCTTGTAGTGGTACGAAATTTTATTACTAACTGAATTATTATCACCCCTTCCAACATACTAATACAATGAATATAGACTAACATATTCTATGGATGTCATGCAAAACCCAACATAACTTGTGAAACGAATTACTAGTAATCATGAGTAACAGCAATAGTATTATGGAAATGGACGGAAAATGCAAGGGATCAATGAGATAAATAAATGAGTAGTACCTATCTCTTCTTTGATTCATGGCAGGTGTCAGTGAGATGTATTGATGCTCCAAGAGAGCTGGAAGTACACTTTCAACATAATCAAAATGTCCTTTCCGTTTACTGCAGTCAACCTTGAACGGCTCTTTGGATGCTATCGCTGCAGGCAAGTCCTTCACAACTTCCACATATCCTCTAGTCTGCTCAATGAAGTAATCAACATCGAAAACATCTGCAAAGCCACTGACAGAACAGTCAAATAAGAACTACCGCAAGCATATTTCAAACAGAACTGAACTACAGAACTTCAGTCAGCATACCTAGACTCATTCCAATAGGCGGCCACCTCAAACTTGGGTAGAACCATTGTTGCATTTAGAAGACGTGCAACCCCAATTCCGTCACATAGCTGCAGAACCATCACAGTGGGATCATTTGGTGCCCCCTCGAGAACTCAGAAGCACAAGATATGAAGTTATGAACAAAACAAAGTAGAATTGCTTTATGGAACATCAAGAGCTTCAGACTGAAAGTTCAGCACTCTCAGTCTCAGAGAGTCACTACTCCATGCAGTTCTGTTACGATACTGACAACCAGAACATGTTTCGGTTAAATCATTTGATCCCTACAGGAAGGAGGAAACTCTAACCGAGGTCTCTTAACGTACATCACGTCGCAGCTGGTTGAGACCGCCGTAGCAGTCTATTCGGATGTACCCGTTCGTCCTGGACGGAGCTGCACACGGAGGGGCAGGCGTCAATCATGATTGCGTCCAGGTCCAGTATCCAAATTCCACCCCCAAACAGCGAGGCCTTACCTTGCACTGGTGCCGTCCGCCACCACCCGCACGGGCGCCACTCCACGAGCCGCCGCTGCGCCCATATGAGCCGCGAGCCCGAAGGAGGCAGCTCTCTGCCACAAACCGAATGCGGGATTAAGGAATTATGCTAGAACATTCTAGAGGGGTCTGGGAGTACACGAGGGGGCGAGGCGCGTACCCGGGGGCGGGGAGGCTGAAGACGGGCGGAGAGGACGGCGGCGAAAGGAGGAAGAAGAGGACGGGCGCGAGGAAGAGGGACGGTAGGAGGAACCGGAGGCGGTGCTGCGCACACCACGCCGCCGCCGGTGACATGGCCGCCGGCGACTCGCCGTCGCCGGAGCCGCCGGGTGAGGCGCCTGGATCTGATCGGCCGGTGGTGGCGTATGATTTGAGGAGAAAGAAATCCCACAGGCTAGCCGCTAACACACCGGGCCACACCAGCAGATAAAGAATGGGTCCCAGGCCACATGCGGGCCCTACTGTCATCCACAAGTAGTGACACGTCGAAATGGTGTTGGCCTCTTTGGGTAGCAGCGGCCAGCGGGTACTCTCGGGTAGCCCATAGCCAATTGGAAAGTCGCCGCCGGCTTTATCAGTGTGGCAGGTGGGACCGTGCTTGAGCTACCCCCACATGTCAGTTACACGTGAGTATATCCAGTTGGAGAAATGGAGAGGGGTTAGACGTAAGTAAACGGTAAACAACAAGGGCTTATCCGCAAAACGACACAGACGTATTTCCGGTTCCGCTTCCACCTGCGCCGAGATCTCGGAAGAGACGCACCGCAGGATCAGAAGAAGCAGGCTTCCGTTCCGCTGCTGCTTCCCCACCCGAATCCAAGCTGCCACGCCCCCACCCCGACCCCGACCCCCACGCCCACCCCAACCCCTCCCCAACCCGCGAAGCTGGCGCGCGAGGCGGCCGACGCGAGCGCCCGCAAGCGCAAGGCGGCGGACGGCGGCGAGGTCCCCGACGCCACCACCGCTGCGGAGGTTGCCGCGGCGCCGGCCCCCGGGGAGGACGCGGCCATGGGCGACGTGCCCCAGGCGCCGCACGCCGCGGAAGGAGGAGGAGGACTGGAGGAGGGGGCGGGGCCGGACCCTAACCCTAGCCCGAGCCTCGGCGGCTGCTCCGACCCCGTGTCGGTGGAGCTCTCCATGGGCGGGGACTACTACCGCGCCTGCTGCGGCGACCCCGACCCCGACATCCCCGAGGGGCCCAAGCTGCCGTGCGTTGGGGAAAAGGTGAGAGAGGGAGAGCCCCTCTGTTCCCCACCATCCTCACTTGTTCGCGATCGGTTATTGGTTAGCCCGCCGTGTAGTGGGATGGGTCTCCATCACGCTTTAGTGTTATATATACAGAGTTGCAGTGATCTAGTGGAAATGCTAGTCGTGGCCGTCTCTACGGCTCTGGTGGGATCAGATTGCGGGGACAGTACTCTACCGCAGTTGAGTGCTGATTACTTGGTGTTCGCGTTGTGCTGGTAAGCATGTGTCATGTGGATCGGCGTGATTTGAGTGAGAACCTTGCATTTACTTGCCCTTTAGACTCCCATATTCCTTAATAAGGGACTACCCAACAGAGAATTTGTTTCACCATTTTCTTGTATGATCAAGTGAATTGAAAATTTTGTCCCGTACTCCCGTAGGCTGTTGGTCAAACACCACAGGGTTCCCACTAAAGTGAAAGCATCAACTAGAGTTACTGTAGGAGGAGGTGGATAATTTTGGAGTCTTTTGTTGCCTACCCCTGTGTATGCCTACTGTTTGGTTTATTTCAAGAACATTTTAGTTGCTCTGCTTATTCTCGATACTCAACATACTGTAGATGTATTTGTTATCTACCCAAAAACCCGCCACAAGTTTCTTTTAGCATATAAAATAGTATATTTAGATTGATCTGTTATTTAAGTCGACCTGTTGGTTATAATCTCTGATTTGAGCTTGTCTTGCTGATGTACTGAAGTTTCAGGGCTTCTTCAAAATTTCATAGTCCATACCAGGAATAGTTGGGTTGTGTTTTGCTTACACTGTTTATGGTCACCTGTTGGTTGGTGTAATCTCTAGGCTGCGCCAAGTTAGTAGGTAGTCTGTTTGAACTGGCCGAAAACTGCTGTTCTCATGTCCCATTTCATTAAAATTGAACAGTGCCTTGTTTCTGGTTGTAAAAAAAGCATCTTGTGATGATGGTTATTGGTTAAGCACCTTTCCTGAATGATGAGAAACATTTCTGAGCTGTTAGGGCGTCCCCAATGGTTCTCAAATAGCTAGTCTAGGAAGAATTCTATTGGCTATCAGGGAGATAGATCAAATAGCTAGCAACTTCCAAATAGCTAGTCTAGCACGATCTCCAAGAAACAACTCTCTCACATCACAAATAGCTCTCCACTGCAGTGTTCTTTTTTTATTATTTCTGAGCCCAATCTAGCTACCTATTTGAAATTTCTCATTGAGGACGCCCTTATGATGGCTAACATGTTCTGATTATCATGGAGGTTTCCATACTAATTATTATGCATCTTGTAAATGTTGCAGGAACCTCTCTCCTCTTTAGCAGCCGAGTTTCAATCTGGCAGCCCCATTTTACAAGAGAAAATTAAGGTTCTTGTGTGTCTGGCTAATCTAATATGTAATTACTGCAATTTATGTGGATATGTAACATGCCATAGTATAGTTTGTTCAATTAGTGTCCTACTTTGTCTGTAGTTGCTTGGCGATCAATATGGTGCTTTAAGACGGACACGTGGAGATGGAAACTGCTTTTATCGAAGCTTTATGTTTTCCTACTTGGTAGTATCTGCAGTGTACTTTTTTTACAAGTATTATCATTCATAATCATGGCGATGATTCTATCTTATATTTGCTGCCAGGAACACATCCTAGAGACACAAGACAAAGCTGAGGCTGATCGCATCATGGTAAAAATTGAGGATTGCAAGAAGACACTCCTGTCTCTTGGATATATTGAGTTCACTTTTGAGGATTTCTTTGCGGTAAGTTTATTCAACGGTTATTTTCACATATTTCCCTCAGTCATATGTTCTGTTAGGGTGGTTTTCCAATTTATTTACTCTACATTGTCTACTGTTTGTGGGTTTGTCTACTTATGTGCCGTGATCGTTTCAAGATGATTTTTGGGTATTTGTGTAGGAATTGGCTTATAAGCTGTATGATGTCTGTATCTGTAGAACAGGGCTGGTTTGGGTTATTGTAGTGCATGCTTCTTATCAATCCTTTGAGGCTCATGGATATGCTGATTTTTATGTGGAAATCTAACTAACATGCAACTTGTTTTAGTTTAGTCAGGAATACTAACCAGCCTGTCTTCCTAAGGACATAAGCTATCAGCTAGAGACAAAGTATGTCACACAAAGTTTTCTACTGTACTAGTGTAGAATGCAGCTGGATGACTGTGACTCATGTTTTAGTGTTTAGTTGTCTGGAAGTATGCTGGTGTAGTTAAAATAAGAATAGTTGAAAATTGCAGAGTTGAACCTTGCTGACTAATATATACCTGGAATTGTAAGAAATATAACTTTCTTGGAAACAAAATATCAATTTATTCCCTCTGATCACAATATATGTTGTTTTAGGTTTTTCCTATGTCAAACCTTTTAGCTTTGACCATCAATAGTTAAAGTTGAAAAATTTAAATAGTATTTTAACATAAAATTCATGGTTCTAGATTCATCATGAAAAGTAATTTCATTATATCTAACTTAACTATTTGAAATATATATTTTTACAGAAATTGATAGTCAAAGTTTCATTACACCTACTAGACTATGTCGATGTCCTAAACTGTTGATATTGTGATTGGAGGGAGTCTTCGTTTGCCCTACACCTCATAGCTTTTGTAATCTTTTCCCCTTACTGAATTATGCTCTTTGATTTTGCTCAGATATTCATTGATATGCTGGAAAGTGTTCTGCAGGGACATGAAACTCCTATAGGGTAAATATCATAGAGTTGTATTTGTCCCAAATACATAATGAAGAAGTGTTGAGTTGTTGATATCAACGGCACATTTTCCTTTGAACCTTCCACAAAATATAATACAATACCCATCATCATGTTTGTGTATCTTTAGTAAATCTATTTGTTTTCCTACATCTTTAGGCCTGAAGAGCTTCTAGAAAGAACCAGGGATCCACAAGTTTCTGATTATGGTTTGTATACATCCAGGTGTTTGAACTCTGTAGTTCTACACTATCTTGGTATTGCTATCTAACACCATTGTCTTCAGTTGTCATGTTCTTTAGGTTTGTCACTTCTGGTGAAATTCAAAGGAGGTCTGACTTCTTTGAACCATTCATATCCGGCTTGACAAATTCAACTGTGGTTCAGGTCAGCTCCATATTCCATTGTCACATGTTGTATATCGACTACAGAAATTATATTCATGGTCATTTACGTGCATCAAGTAACATTAATCTGTAATCCTATTTGTTGCTCCCTGGTGAATAGTGTCTGGTGATTGGCAATCACAGCATGTTCTTTCATAGTTGCCTTAAACTGTTCTGGAGCAGATGTAGCCATTATTACCAGAGGGGATTTCCCTTACCTAAAGACCAGATATAGACAATTAGATATCATGATGTAGCAACTCTTTGAGCAAAACTTTTTTTTTCCCCAATGGTGTAGTTTATCACAAGTCTGTACTCTGTAACAAATGTTATGATAGGGAAAGATTTTATGCTGCTGCCCATGTGGGCAAATAAGCTACTTCTTGGTCTTAAATAATTGTTGAAGTCACACAGTTATTTCCAGCACTGAATCTGCACCCTATTTTAGTAAACATTTTGATAAATATGCAGATGCAAGAATGACCCTGATTTATAATTTTGGTTTGCAGTTCTGCAAGGCTTCTGTGGAACCTATGGGTGAGGAAAGTGATCATGTGCACATAATTGCCCTATCGGATGCACTAGGTGTACCTATCCGTGTTATGTACCTAGACCGAAGCTCGTGTGATACTGGCAATCTGAGCGTGAATCACCATGATTTCATCCCTTCGGCCAATGCTTCTGAGGGTGATGCTGCGATGACATCTACTCCTGCCGCTGAGAAACCTTACATCACTTTGCTCTACCGTCCTGGTCACTATGATATTCTCTACCCAAAGTAAATTTTGCTCTCATGACTTGGTTGAGAAAGCGCACACTAGAAATCTGTAGTCATGTTTCGCCTGTGTGCTGCCAAAGGTGGCAAACTTGCTTTTGTGTGCAAATGCCCTCGTTCAAATTAGTTGTTTTCTACCTGCTGTAAGTCTTACTCTGGTACAATGACTTAACATTGTGTTGACTGTGGAGAAGTTCTGTTGATATTGCTACTGATCAGTTTTTTTTTTTTTACCTTTATTCATCGTAGGAAAGCAAGCTCATAATGTTTAGAGTATAAAACTATTGAAATGGATGGAGTATAGAACAGTCAGTGTTCTTAGTGGGTTTTTGTCTTAGCAGTAGCAGGCCAGCAGCCATTCACTTTCCAAATGGCTCTGCAGATTCATCATTTCTATTTTATTGCATCAGGTGTGCAGCCCGTTCGCCAATTGCATGATCCTTATCCTGGATGGGTGTAGTCCAGGTTCTCTCCAGGTAGGGTCTACTCGTGCCAGGAACTGTAACCATGATTGACAGATGGGCAGTTGTGATTGTTATGAAGTAGGGAACGGAAGGCTGAGCAGCATTCGGCAAATATTTGTTGAGAAGTTGGCGATTATGCTTTACAGGAAGTTAGAGTTACTCAGGTTGGGCATGGAGTGACACAGTCACAGGCAAAGGCCTATCTATGTCAAAAACTGAAGACCTTTTGTGATAGAAAGAGACTGAGCAAATGTGGGGGTGATTTGCGTCTCGGGGGCGACATGGCAACCAATCAGTTGACGAAGACGTGTCCTTGCCATTGGAGAGAAAGAAAGGGAGGCCGACAAAGCTTGGAGAGCTGACCCTATGCATTGCAAAGGCCAAAGGCACTACTAGCTATTCTGTACGAACATGCCTACTCCGCGTACGAAAGCAAACTTTTTTCTTTCTTGGGCCTCGTTCATTTTGCAAAAAAAAAAAAAACCCGATAAATAGTACCACTTTCGTCTTATTTGGTAAATATTGTCCGATCGTAGACCAACTAGGCTTAAAAGATTCATCCGTGATTTCCAACTAAACTGTGTAATTAGTTATTTTTTTACCTACATTTAATACTCCGTACATGCGGCTAAAAATTGATGTGATGGAGAGAGTGAAAAAACTTGGAATTTGGATGGCATCTAAACAAGGCGTTGTTTCGTTTTCGAAGGACACGTGGACGCCTAAGAGGGGGTGTGAATTAGGCAACTTAAAAATCTAACTCACGACTATGACCTCTTTTTCTACTTCTAGCAAAGCCTATGCAAAAGATAATCTATCTAGATGTGCAACTACGGTTTCGCTAGTGTGTTGCTATCTCTACCGCAGATGATAATAATATGATCAATGTAAATGCGGAAGCTTAAAGAGCAAGGTAGAGATATGCAAACTCCCGTCGACGACTCCGGTATTTTTACCGATGTATCGAGAAGCGCGCAAGCTTCCCCCTAGTCCTCGTTGGAGCCCCTCGCAAGGGCCAAGCTCCCGGTCGGGTAACTCCGTGGATAGCCTCGGGCCTTCCCCACGCGCAAGTGGGTCTCCGACGTGCCTTCCGGCAAGCCTCTCCCGGATGCTCCCCGCCGTCTTCACTATCAAGTTTTCGGCCGAAACACCGCGGGCCTTGTTCCCTTCGGTACACGGTGGCGGCCGCACCACAAATGTGGTTGGTGCGATCTCGCAAGACTTCAAGCCCCTCCGATGTACAACTCTTGTGCTCGCAAGCACGGGGTGGTAAGAGGTATGTAAACCTCACTAAACACTAGGCATATACCTAGAGCAAGCGCATAAGCGGTGGTCTAATCAACCTAAGCACTTCGCAAAAAGCACCTACGCTAATCACCTGATGAAACACTAAGCACTTAGCAAGTGGAGATCACTAAAATAGTGTATCAACACCCTTGGTATGTTTCCTCAGCTCCACACACCTCAAATGGCTGGTTGGGGGTTGTATTTATAAGCCCCACTGAGAAAGTAGCCGTTGGGGTCGAACTCCCGCATTACGCGCTACTAACCGGACGTCAATCGTTTCGACCGAACGCTGTCCGGTCGTCCCCGACCGCTAGAAGCCGCTGAACTACTGGACGGCCACCGCCAGCCGGCGTCGGTCGCTCACCACGGTCGATCGCGTCCGGTCGCGCGATTTCAGCGCGCTGGAACCTCTCAGACTCGATCGGACGCCATGCTGCGTTCTTGCGTCCGGGTCGGTTGCCGCCAGCGTCCGGTCCTTGCGTCCGTCGCTCTGTCTCGCCGAAACCACCGGTCCAGCGTCCGGTCCAGCTCCGATCGCCTCTGCGAGCTGAGCCTTCTTTTCGATCTTCATGCGCACGGGCTTGGTTCCTATCTTCATGCTTGAACTTTGCTTGACATCTTGGGTCTTTTCTTGTGCTTCTAAGGTCTTGCTTGAGGTGTTGATCATCATATCATCATGTCGCCTTTGTCCAAGTCACGTCTTGCACCCTATTGGACTACAAAACAAACACTTGCAAATTCATTAGTCCAATTTGGTTGTGTTGGTCATCAAACACCAAAATCCAAAGTAAATGGGCCAAGGGTCCATTTTCCTTACAATCTCCCCCTTTTTGGTGATTGATGACAACACGACCAAAGCAAGCAAATGATAAAAATTTTAAATTTAAAAATTATCTACTTGCTAGGATGCAATGCAAAGGGCAAGGTTATATGATACTAATTGATAGATACCAATTAAAACTTTACTTAAAAGCATGTCTTGCCCTTGCAAATGTCCCCATGTGATATTATGGATTAATGCCTATCTTTCTAAAAAAAATTCTCCCATTACATAGACTAATCCATAATTCACTTTCCTCCCTTTCTCGGACTATTACCACTTGTAGACATCAACTTGATGCTTGCCTTTGGTCCTTCAAATTCTCCCCATTTGACATCAAACACTAAAAAGGAAGGCATTAGTAGCACAAGGGAGGGTCAAATTTCATGATCCTTTGTGTATAGAGTGAAATGGATCACAAAATTTGACTCTCGCATTATATAGACTAAACTCCCCCTAAATATATGCATACATATGGTAGAAAGCAAATCATATGCATAATTAGCAATTTGTTGCAAAAGAGAGTTTAATCTATATAATGCATGGAGAAAGCATATAAATATGAAATGAAATCAACATGATGATGCTAATTGAAGAACGATGCTTCTCTTCGGGGACTCCATTTTCCTTGCAATGAGACTACTACACACATGATAAACTTGAAAAAGGTGTTAGTCTCAAAGCGTCCATCTTGTAGATGATCCTCCCCCTAAATTTGTGCATGGAGACATGGAATACTTGTAGTACTCATGCACAATTGATTTTGGAGTCAAAATAACACTTGAAAGATGATATTTGGGAGAAAATTATCTATAATTTGGACTTTGGCACATATTAGATAAACAATAGAAAGACAAGCTATGTGCCGTGCTCCTAAGCAATTTTAAACCATGTAGGTTTGCTCCAAGGGTTAAGAATGAAACCGAGCAAGCCTACCATGTGATATACCTAGTGTATGCATGACAAAAGATATAAGAATTCAAATGCAAACATAGGCATGAAGAGTAACTAGATGCTAAAAGATACCAATTGTAGGAAAATTTTAAATATAATATCAATTGAAGTAAATTGAATCTAGTTACCTAACATGGGAAGGAGAATTTAGGGTCCATAGTATTCACTAACCCACTTGGCAATGATTTTGTCCATCATGATGCACCCCATGAAATGCACCCATACTTTGCCAAGTCTCCAAATTCCCCGATATCCGACGGATTTTTTACTTCCCTTTCGGAATCCAAACCTTCTTGGTGCTCTTCATGTTGGAAATGATTTCCTTTGGCACCCAAAAGCGTTTGACCCCATTGTTGGCTTGCTTGTTCACCTTGATGGCCACCACCTTGTCATTTTTCTTCTTCTTCAAGAGATAAGGTGTGGAGGCATTCTTGTCCACCTTGTTGGTGTAGGTGTTGGAGAGCTTGTTTGTTTGCTTTTTCTCCTTCTTCTTTGCTCCTCCCCCATTCTTCACCTTGCACTCATAGGACTTGTGGCCTTCTTTGTGGCACACGTAGCAAACCACGGTTTGTCCTTCATCAAGCTTCTTCACTCCCTTGACGGTGTTATCTTGATGAAGTTGGGTTTGCTTCGCCTTGCCTTTCATTTGAGTCAAGTCCTTGGTGAGGCGAGCTACTTCTTGCTTGAGTTGCTCATTCTCTTTTGCAACCTCTTGTGTGCATGTATCTACAATCACTTTCTTAACACAAGCTTGGTTGCACAAAGGTGAGTCTAAACATAAATCATTACAAGAGGTAGATGCATCCTTTTTAATTATGTCATTTCTTTTAGATGCCTTGGTGGGGGTATTTTTTACGGCCTCAAGATTAGCAACTTGATTTGTTAGCTCATCACAATGTTTGCACATGATTTCCATTTTAGCAAGCAAACTTTGATAATCATTTTGTGAGCTAGCTAACTTTTTTTTTAATTTTTCATTTTTCTTTTCAAGTTGCTTATCATTAATTGTGCATGCACTTGTTGTTGCACTAGCCTCAAGTTGCTCAATTTTAGTAGATAGTTCAACATGAGATTTGCAAAGTTTTCATATTGTTCAAGCAAATTCTTGTATGCTTCTTGTGAACTACCTAGCTCTTCTTTTAAAGTTTTGAGCTTCTTTTGTTGACTAGTGCAAACTTTAGCATATTTAAGATTTTGTTGCACAATTGTATTGTAAGAAGGCAAATCATCATCACTATCACTCTCACAAGAGGATGAGCTTTCGTTACCTCGTGCCATAAGGCACACACGAGAAGAGCTTGATGATGAGTGCTTGTGACCTCGCCTCTTGTGATGGTTTTCTTCTTCACTTAAAGAATCATCCCATGACCTTATTGTTGTGAGGGCTTTGTTCTTGCATGCCTTCTTCTTTGTCTTGGGTGTGGGCTTGTTTGGACAAACTTCCATAAAGTGCCCCAACTCGCCGCATCCATAGCATCCCCT